AACCGAACATTTTTATACATCTTATATCCATGTGTGCCTTTCTCTAGGGTAGATGCTGAGAAGTAGAATTGTTAGGTTATAGAGCATTTTTTTTTAGTTTACAAGTTACTTTTTACTTATTTATTTTTTAAATTTTTAAATTTTTATTTTTATTTTTTATTTGTGCTAGGATTACAGGCGTGAGCCACCGTGCTGGCCTTTACAAGTTGCTTTTTAAAGTAACTGTACAAATTGATACTCCCACTATTAGAATTTGAGAATTGTCTTCTTTCACATTTTTTTTTTTTTTTTTTTTGTGAGACAGAGTCTCACTGTTTCACCGAGTCTGGAGTGCAGTGTCACTGTGTCAGCTCACTGCAACCTCCGTCTCCTGGGTTCAAGCAATTCTCCTGCCTCAGCCTCCCGAGTAGCAGAGATTACAGGCGTCCACCACCACGCCCGGCTAGTTTTTATATTTTTACTAGAGACGGGATTTCACCATGTTGGCCAGGCTGGTCTTGAACTCCTGACCTCAGGTGATCCGCCTGCCTTGGCCTCCTAAAGTGCTGGAAGTACAGGTGTGAGCCACTGCGCGCGGGCCTTCTTTAACATTTTTAAAAGCACTAATTTTTACTACATTTGCCCTTAAATATGATAAAATGTGAAATATTGATATCATCAGTGCATTTTCTTAATTAAAATTTTGCCAAAAGGTTATGGTCATAAGAATTAAACTGAGTGAAATAGGCTCTGTTATGTTGTAGCTTTTGTTTAAAGTATCCTAGCCCTTAAAAGTATATTGTTTTCCTTATCTGTTTATAGTTATTTCCTTGTAGGTCCCAGGATTTAAAAATAACATTTTATTATTTATTTGTTTTTATTTTGTTTATTTGTTTTTTTGAGATGGAGTCTCGCGCTCTTCCTCAGGCTGGAGTGCAGTGGCACGATCTCGGCTCACTGCAACCTCTGCCTCCTGGGTTCAAGCGATTCTCATGCCTCAGCCTCCAGGCACAGCCCCTGTGCCTGGCTTGTTTCTTACTTAGAAACAAAAAACAGATTTCATCTGTATGAACATACATGTTTTAGGCCGGGTGCGGTGGCTCACGCCTGTAATCCAGCACTTTGGGTGGCTGAGGCAGGCAGATCACAAGATCAGAGATCCAGATTATCCTGGCTAACACAGTGAAGCCCCATCTCTACTAAAAATATGAAAGATTAGTCGGGCGTGGTGGCATATGCCTATCGTCCCAGCTACTCAGGAGGCTGAGGCAGGAGAATCGCTTGAA